CCCCAAAACCCCAAAACCCCAAAACCCCAAAACCCCAAAACCCCTAGAATAAAAGTTCAGGTTGAAATAAGGCTAGATATGGCTCATTGCAAAACTTTGGAGCACTGTGCCAATGCAGACACCTGCTATTAAGTGAAAGTTCATAATCATTGCGGCTCTTTCTTTGTCACTATCCTTCACCTGTTCAGGTCCTAGAGGCATAGCTAAGGATACGTTATACCCATTGGTAGCTGCAAAAAGGAATATGTGAATGATCCTAAACCAGTCTGCTCAGAAGAGAAAATCAGGAGCAATTTCTTTTTGGATGAGGACCGTTGTAGGCACGAATATAATCCTTCCAACTGAGAATATGATCAATGTGTCCTTGTTAAAGACCTTCAAAGGTCCAGCCAGGAATCTACCAACTGTATCACCGAAGGAGAAAATTGTGATCATCAGGATATTGAACCATGCTTTATAAGAACTACTATTCTTGAGGAAGTCTAAGTCAGTGTCGAGCAGATTTCCAGGATAAATGAGAAAGGTAATCCCAAATGCTATAGTTGCTTGTAGACCCATGTAGAACACCTTTTTGTAGATGGTCCATAAAGAGCTTGGAATATTAGAACTATCAGTTTGGGAGCTCTTTCCTAATAAATCTGTGTTCTCATCTGTTCTACAAATCTCGTTAGTTCAAATACTTACGGAGCAATTCCAAATATTTTAGCACCTATATGTATAAGCAATTAAATAGTTATCTGGGTTGAAAGCAAGATGCATTTGATACATCTCTTCAGGAATTAAGTTATATTGCTTATAGTTATATTTCAAAACAATAAGTCTCATTCAAGAAGTCACCAGCAAATGATATATCTAAAATTTTGTTCTAATCCCTCATATTACCTCTATTCTCACTCATTTCAGAGTCTTCATAGCTTCCTTGCTTATTTGCCTTTGATACATAATATTTTGAAAACTCCATCCTTCTCAAAATAAAATATCAAATTGATCAGCCGATCAAAATGATTGAGAAAATACCCACAAAGATTAAACTATTGTAAAAGGCATTTGGATTATCCGGATCTTCAGCATCTGGTGGCAGAAAGACTATCAGGATCATCTTAACTGAGTTCAAAGTCATTCCGTTTACTCCTTGTCCTACCATCATTGCTATCATGTACTTTTGAGGGAACATGCTCGCGTAGCCAAAAAGACCTCCTTGAACAAATGCATTTCCAAATCCGTTTATTACTACTAGTAGAAGTAAAAGATACCATGCTACTGATTTCTGAGTTAAATACTCTGATAATAATGGCATGGAATATCAAGCAAATACAATTACTGCGTATGCAGTATAGATTCTCACTGAGAGTGAGACTCTTGAAGCTAGATATAACAGAAGGATGTTTCCCAGCATTAGAGGCCAATTAAACACAAACCCAAATGTGAATTCCGGGTCATAATCTGGCTTAAATTTTGCATCGTAAAAGTCAAATGCTGCAATTCATCAGTCCCATGCTGACCATCCACTTATTCCAAAGAGGAAGAAAAAGATTAGGGCTATATTTTTGTGATCTTTAGGAGGGGCTGGAGTGATCAAACTCATCTTCTCACTATCTGTAAAACTTTGAGAAAAGGCATTGTCCATGCTTCTGAATCTATTTATGCCAATATTTAGATCTAATTTTGGGGTTTTGGGGTTTTGGGGTTTTGGGGTTTTGGGG